TGAAACCTGGCGGCATGTATTGACATGCTGCCCGGCTTCCTGATTACCCGGGAATGCCCACCAGTTTCCAGATTGCCTGGGAATCTGGCTCCATGTTGTTTGGCTTTCCAGCCAACCAGCATCAAGCCAGCTTCCCGGGCCAATCAGGAAACCGGGCGGCGAGTAATAACGCGCCTCCCTGATTGGCCAAGAAGCCGGATTGATGCTCATTGGCTGGAAAGCAGGCTTCCTAGCCAATCAGCAAAGAGCTGGTTGCTTGGCCGGCTCGATGCTGATTGGCCCGGGAAGCTGGCTTCCCAGCAAATCAGCAAGGAGCCGGCTGTTTGACTGGCTCAATGCTGATTAGCCGGGATGCTGGCTTCCCGGCAAATCAACAAGGAGCCAGGTTCCCGGCCAATCAGGAAGTCGGGAGGCTGGTCATTACTCACCACCCGGCTACTGATTCCCCCCGAAAGCCGGCTCCATGTTCCCCTACGGCACTGAAGTTCCGGTATCGGGGAAGGCATCGGAGCATTTGGACGAGTACAAGTACTCAACCAAATACTTGGTATCGGCACCGATACTGATACTAGTATCGGTATCGGTGCATCCCTAGAAAAAACCTACCCTTGCAGTGGGGCTATCCCCGCACTACAAGGGGTAAATGCTCGTTTTGTCTAGGGAGCTCAAATAAAGCTGTATTAACTACAAATCCCAGCATGCCTCTGCCTCTGGGAGTCATGGCTGTAACTGTCAGTCTTGCAATGCAATGCAATGCAAATTACAATATTTTCATGTTACCTGCAAATAAGAAACTAAATTTTGCATCCGATGACAGTGATAAAGTGTTGTGATTGGCTGACACTCAGGAGCAGGAAAGAAATCTTATTTCGGATGTCACGGATATCTATAGTCAGCTTTTGTGTACTGACTTTCCCTACATTTTATGGTGGGTAACCCAAGCTGTGTGCAGGTCACACTACAACAATGCTTGAATTCAGTAAAAGTTTCTCAATAGTTCAACAGAATAAGGGAAGATTGATGGAAAATCTTTACCTGGACAAACAGACTCCTCGGACAGGTACCATTAACCTGGTGTGGATGCCGATCACCTGGGTGTCGCTCACCCTGAACTCACAACTGACCTCTTACAGGGATTCAGGACTTTCCATGCCATAAGGAGGATCCTCTTTATGCAAGCCCCCTGCTCATAATGGCTAAAATGTAAAAACGACCGGTAAGAAGTCATGTGTAAACAAACAGATCGCCCAGGAAAAAAAAAATATTAAAGCTGACCCCACGCGCACCGTTTTTTTGACTCGTTCAGCCCCAAAACAAACGCCCGATTCCCCCATCCACGCTAAACACAGTACACAGACAGTGACGGCCTACAGTTTCTGGCCCGCCTCCTGCAACGAAAGTTGATTGAAAAGTTCACTTTTATTGAGGGAAGTGTTCCCAACAGGGCCATCCACAGCAGTGTATGGCCAGGTTTACCTTAGCCCAGGCCTGCAATGCTTCTTATGGGTACAGGTGACATCAATGTGCCTCACCGCTACATCCTGGGATAGCTAGGCCCTTGGTGAGAATGCAGTAGGCTAGAGAGCATTCTCAGGGGAATTGTTAGGGGCAGGGACAGAGGTAAGTATTTATAAAGCCATTATTGTTGTGGTTAGGGGGGGACATGGGGTTTGTAAAAAAGCAGACCTTCCTTTTCCTATGGAAGGGCCACTTTAATGCATTTAAAGTGAACCTGTCACAAACTTGGGCAGTTCAAATGGAACATTTGATGAAAAATACATAGATCAGAAGTTCTCTGATCCCACATTGTTCCTTTTTGGACCGTTGAAAGCGTTTTGTTATGTAGGTGTCAACAAAAATACCCATTGATTGGGTTCAGTGTCCTCTCCTCTGCATGCCTTATCTCAAGGAGTCCTCCCAGAACAATAAGCACCTATCCTGGATTAGATAAGTACAATGGGAGGGATTCAGCAGTTTAACAACAGACAACTAGGCAGGGCTGACACCATCTCCTGCAACATCAGTCTACGAAAAGAGTGCGTTTCCGGCAGACCAGCAGGCATGTTTTGCACTCCGCTGTATTTTTTCCTAGCTGCAACAAGCTTTATTGATGCCAGATGAAGTCAGACAGACATTCTCTCTCCTGACAGACCAATGACACATTTCACCCAATGGGCTTAACCATACAAAGTGGTTCTATGATTTAGGCCTCGTTCAAAGCTCTGTGTTTTAGCACATGTGCCAGAGCACAAAACCACACAGGCACCATAGGACACAATATAATACATTTGTATTGTATATAGATGACTGCTGCAGAAATTAAAAATGACATCACTGCAGGAAATCAATCCTCACTGGCCAAAAAAACACGACGCATGAAAAAGTGTATTCATGAAAACAGAGGGACTTACTTTACAATGCTTTACTAGTTCCAATGCAAAATAATAAATGCACATTGTTCTTTTATTAATATTTTTGTATTTATATATTTTTGCCTTTGATGTCCCCCTTGAGCCCTGGCAGTTGGAATGAAGACAGGATCACATATGATTTTACATGATAACATGCATAGTAGGTAAAGTGTAAGTGTAACATTTCTATGTATTTATTTCCTCTTACAGAGATCACAGTACTCCCCCGACAATGCCATCATCTGCTATTCTCTCCAGGAGAACAGCATCATATTTGTTCAGGCATCATCCTGTGTCAGCATCAACTTCCTTAAAGGAGAACTATGAGGTGAGTGCTTTTCCCCATAGTTCTCCTTAGGGTAACAGGAAGACACAAACTAGCGTCCTCCCGTCACCCTAAGCTCAGTATACGGCGAGCTACAGCTCGCGGTATACTGAGACGCCGCAGCTGAAGTGGATCCCGACAATTATGTCTGGATCTGCCCAGCTGTGTGAGTGACAGCTGGCTCTGCCTATCTAGAGGTAGAGCCAGCTGCCCCCGCCCCCCCCCTCGTCCGTTCCGCCAGTCAGCGCTGGAGGATCCGAGGGGGGAATCCAGCCACTCCCCTGTCACGGCAGAGAGCTGTGACAGGATAGAGAAGTGAGCGAACGCCGGTATGTGTTCGCTCACTTCTCGATCTACTGAACCGACCTGTGACAGTCTCATTGTCACAGGTTGGCTAGAACTATGAGGTGAGTGAAAAGCACTCACCTCATAGTTCTCCTTTAATAGAGATGGCACACTAATGTAAATCTTGGTTCCTGTGCAGTTCACGAACGTCTGACTCGGGTCAACTCCTGCTGCAGGCTTTTACTCTGTGACTTGCTACAAAGTTACAATATACAGTCTGATCATTGCGGGGGAGAGGAGACTGAAAAGATGCTTCCTCCTTCCTGCAGTAAACTGATGGCATCATCTCAGCCTAGGCAAAGCCATGTAATGGGAGCTCTAGGATGACTTTTTAATGATATAAGGTGGCGCTTTTCTGAAAAATTAAACTTGTTGTTGGATTCTGTGACATGCCAGGGATTTATTCATCTTGACTTGTAAAGTCAACGAAAGTTTTTGAAAGCTCCACCTTGTATAAGAACACCCTGCAAGGCCGGAGATCAGAACAAAGTGGAACTCCAACTTTTGGACAAGCAAGCTTTTGTGGATAGCCATTGCCAAGAAACATAACGATCTTTGGAGCAGATTTTAGTATCCCAATTGATATTGATCTGTCGTTTTAAAGCAGCGATCGAACAAATGGTCTCTTATGGTGTAGACAACACGCAGAGCATGTATTAGTGTATTCATTATTCAAAAGCGCTGACGCTATATAGATCCTGCATAATAATAATAATAATCAGATTCAATGCACGTCAATGATCCAACTTTGAGTGGCTGATCGCTGCTTCACACTGCTTGTGCAGTATACTCCATAGGGAACTATTGCTTCCATCTGTTGACTTGCTATTCTTATGTTGCGCACATATATACCGTACTGTAGCAATGGTTAAAGTGACCCTGTCAGGATACCAAATAATAATGATGAAAGCTCTGTGCAATTGGTAGTATACTCACCTGTCTGGAGGCCTTTGTGTCCCCTGTTCCAGCTCTGCAGCTTCCTTCAGTCTATGGCATTCAACACTTTGGGGGGAGTAGCATACCTGTGTCCCCCGTTGCGGGCGGTGGCAGCTGTCAGTGGACTACACAACGCCTCCCGCCCGCAGGAGATTGCATGAGTCCCATGGAAATGCGCTAGTGAATGGGGCCTTTGGGCCTGTTCACACCAAAATTGGGCTATAATGGAGGTCCGTGCACTTGCAATTTCAACCTCTGTTGACTTCTGTTGCGTTACGTTTCATTTTTTTCCGTTCCCTTTTTGCCAATCTTTATTTTAATGTGGACACACTCCTATGTATTTTTTTTTTGAACTTGCGTTCTGTTAACATCCATTTTTGACGTGTTGCGTTACACTGCACTGAAAAAAATAGAGCACGCTCTACTTCTTTTCAGCATGCTGCGCAGCGACACAAACTGTTTCCATTCACTTTTCGGGTTAACTTCCTTCAGTGTCTGAAAATCAGTGTGAATGGGGCCTCTAACTTTCACCCAAGATTCAAACGTTTCTAATTAATTTCAATTCACAAATTGTGACAACGCGGTGAAAGTTGTGAACAATAATTTATCAATAGACCACTCATTTGGAAAAAAAAAAAAAGGGCGAATCTTGGGTGAACACATGCAGAAATAGATGTGGCAGCGATTTGTAAGGACTGGGTATGTGAGATTCGCCCAGCGCCCGGCCGACTCCGCTCCGATCACACTGAGCAGAAGAGCATCAGCCTGAAAATAAAAATCCTAAAAAGGAGGCGTGGTTGCATCACTCTCGCTCCCCCTCCTCTCGCATCCATTGGCTGCTCCTCCCCTGGCCTAGCCCATTCTCCCCGCGCTCTGACCAATGAGGGGGCCCCTGTCAGTCAGTCCTCCCGTGTAGCCCCCAGCCTGGCAGTGCCGAGCGTGGCTCTCGCCTGGGAAGATCAGCTGGTGCCGGCTCTGGGATCATGGGAGCTCCGGACTTCACATGGCATGTCTATCTGCTCTTCAGCCTCCTCTGCAGGTGCAACTTCACAGGAGGCAGCGGGCTGCCAGGTAAGAGACGGCTTCACCAATCCCATCCTGACCCAAACCCAAACTTTCCCAAGTACACCGATCCTCCATCAGTCCCTGCACAGTCCAGGGTGACAACTCCAGGGCTGAGTGAGACGTGCCCTGTTATAAAGGATGATCATACATTGCATTGCAAGGTATACTGATCATATATTACATCTTAAGAACATTGCATTCAGATATATGATGTCTATATGTTACAACAAAAATAATTTTTTTTGTATAATGTAAAACTTGACGACTTTTCATTGCATCATATGATGATCATTTATTACATCAGAGTATATAATGATCATGATACCATGGACAAGTGCAGCGTAAAGACCTGCAGGTGATATGGATGTTGTATAGCAATGTACTGAATTATGATGTGAATCATTAATTTTTTTAATCATATATTGCATTACCATGTCACAATAACTGCAGCTCGGTCTATGATTGCATTGAGATTAAAATGTGTAGTCAGATCATTGATTGCATTGTAAGGCAATACTATATTGCATTGTGGTGTATCATCACCATATTTTGCATTATAAAGCCTACAGGAAATACACAGCCGTATATATTGCACGTAGGGTACCATTTCTGAGGACACTGGCCCGATGTAAAGTAAATGTGATTAATCTGAATATATATCACATGCAAATGTATTTTACAGTATGGTAATTTGGCTGTACGGCTCTGCACTTATGTGTAGTCCTTTGTACTGTGCTTCAAAAGCAGCTTTAGGCGACACTGTTAAAAAGTTTTGCTAAGTTGCATTAGAGCTATAGATGCATGATTATATCAATGTGGATTTTGCATCATCATCATCCCATTCTGCATCTAACATCCTCAGGCTCAGATTTTAATTGATACTGTAAGTCGGCTACGACTACACCAATGCTGAACTCAGTTGGAGTATTATGGGGCATTAGGTTGTGCCTTTAAGAACTATTTATTGCCTCTGGCCAAATCTAGAATTTCCTTTCTCTAAATCTAAGTCGTCACGACGGAATAGCCACAACGTCACATTCCCGGTCCTGTGATACATACTAGCTGGGTCATGTGATCATTTTTATTACATTTTTAGGTGTAAATTGCACTGCCATTGGCTTTTTAACGTCTACACCTGCAAGCATGTTACGTAAAACCAAAATAAGTGTCTTTGTCGAATGGAAGAGATTTTTAAGTCACCAGTTTCCTGTAATCTGCTAATTGTAATTGCTCTTGAAAAAAAAAAGGATAATATAATTATATTTGTTTAAGAAATCTGTGTCATGTCGAGGACGAGATGCTGTTCCTTTTATTCAACATAAAGTCTACAGTGGTCTGTCATCTATTTAGCTTTTTTTTTTTTTTTTAGACTGAGCCCCAGATGTTTGTGTAGCATTAAATTGTTCGAGAATCAATTAAAACTGCGTTTCCAGAAAGACAAATATAAGTATTGACATAAGGGGCATCAATCAGCAGCCTTGGGGCACTATATTTATTCCTGTCTTTCAGTGGGAGAGGGGACAAGCCAGGTTTCACGCTGAGCCGGTCTATTCTTCAGTGGGCTGCTCTGGTCATCCATTGTAAATCTTCTCAATGTAACACAACTATTTCATTTTGGAAGGAGCTTAAAGGCGGCTCGTTCCCAAGAAAAGAAGCGACTTGCTAAATAAATAAATGAATGTCTCCCGGATCTGTCAAAAGTCTGGATCGTTGTACTAAATTTGCCCCCGGTTGTCGCCATTTTGAATAATTATCTGCAACGGAGCAGCGACCGTGACGATTTTTTGCTGTGGATTTAACCAAAGGGTGCCGATGACCGCGTGAAATTTTAAACAATTTTTACATAGTTTGGATCCGCTCTGCAACATTGTGACCTCGCTTCCCACACCGCAGAAATATAGCCAGAAAACACATGTTGGAGATTACCGGCCCCCGTTTTTCCAAAAAGGGGTTAATTGGTCCCCCTCGATCGACTGTGTCGCACTGTTTCCTAATTCTCCGCAGGCTGGAAGGACCTTGCCAAAACATTGCCATTTCCTATAATCGCTTAATGATATTTTTCTTTCACAGACCCGGCCTCAAGCTGTGACAAACCCCCTTTATTTCACCTGTGCCCGACGTCCGCCATCTGTTTTCGATCGTCAAAATAGTTAAACCGCTGCAAACAAATTAAGGTTGCCCTCCTTAACGCTCTGCTGGCCGGCCCCTGGAAAGGGAAGGCGGATAGGGTTTTGTTTTTTTTTTAATCAGTTTGGCTCTTTGTGGTTTAGTCTTACAAGATTCTTTTTTTTTTTTCCTCTTTTATTATTTGCAGACAGTGACGAGTGCGCGGAGGGGACCGATGACTGTCACATCGATGCGATCTGTCAGAATACCCCGAAATCCTACAAATGCATCTGCAAGCCGGGATACAAGGGAGAGGGCAAACAATGTGAAGGTAGGGATAAAGGGAATTGGGCTGCTCTTCCTATTTGTTTGCACTGCTAAATCTTTGTAAATAGCGGAATTCCTGAAACGATTAATGCAGATTTACAGCTGCTTGCCCTCAAGTCTTGGTGTTTATTGGCCGAGAACCCCTGCTGGGTCTGTTAATTGTTCTGAAGTTGAGATACTTCTTGCAAGAGTAGCAGACTGATTCTTGCTGTGTCCGTGGGTATATATGTGTGTGTCTTCCCATAACAGTATAGGGCAAGCGTGCCAAATTCACAAGAAACCAGCTTCTAAAAAGAGAACAGATGATGCATCACATCGGCCGAGAGCTACCCTTATTGAATGATACTTAAAGGAGATGTAAACCCTGAATGGTGGATGTTTTCTTTGCACTATATATCATCAACAATTGCCATTTTTTTTAATATCCGATCCTGTTTTCAACTTTTCTCTTTTTTTCATCTTTCCCACCTTGGTGCTGCTGATCTCTGTTGGCTCCTTTCAGCCACTTCTTGTCTATTTGCAGCCATATCCTGTCTCCAGCATCAGCTGCACATCACTTATTATTATTATTTATATAGCGCCAATAATTTACGCAGTGCTTCACATACTGTGGAGGGAATTTATAAAAACTGGAGCAGGCAGAATCTGGAGCAGTTGCCCATGGCAACCAATCAGCATCTCTCTTCAGTTTTGTCAGGTAAGATTTGAAAATGAGACAGAGAAGCTGATTGGTTGCAGTGCAAATCTGCTCCAGTTTTGATAAATTCCACCGTGTATGTTATCCGTTCCACCCCTTAAAGGGTTAGTCTAAGGCAAAGCTGAACAAATCCCAGGTACTACGGTAGGTAGCCAATGCACCTTTAAAAATTACAACTGGACCCGAACTTTTGAGGCTTTCCCTAGTTGTTGATTATTATTATTATTCAGGATTTATATAGCGCCAACGGTTTGCACAACGCTTTACCAAATAGGGGGGAGACCGTACAGTTGCAATACAATTTCAGTACAATAGAGTTAGGAGGACCCTGCTCGTGAGAGCTTACAATCTGGAGCTGGCTCCTGGATTGGACAGATTGGCTCCTGAACTCTATGTACATTTGTTCACCCTTGCTCTAAGGACCCCATCTTGTTCGCAATATGTACACACATACAAGTTGGACCTGTGTCTTTGTTCAACCTATGTAGTATGTAACTATCTTGCATTCATACTAAGGTTGATTTGGGTAGGAGTTAATTTTTGTTTGTTTTTAACTTTCTTTGCTCCAGTGTTGGTGGCCCACTTCTTTGCACTGCCACGTGTAGTAAGTGTGTGGACATTAATGATGTATGGAGGCTTGCTGCAAACTCACCAGAGTTTGCCCAAGCAGTCACAAAACTGTGACTGACACACCACCTCTCGGCCCAATCCATTGTGGCCAGGGCATGGGGGGGGGGGGGGGGTGTCAGTCAGTTTTGTGTGGGCTTGGCTGAAATCTTACAAACTGGGTTTGCACCAAGCCCCCCGCACATCCCTATTGGACATCACTCCCTGGTTCCTTTTGTGGCCAGTGTGTGTGTGTGTGTGTGTGGGGGGGAGGGCCTGCAGTTCTTGATTGCAGTGGACAGCGGACAAGGGACCCTTGTCCGATGTATGAGAGCAGCAGTCCCTCTGCAGAGGTTGGACATTCTCTCCCCTCTGCAGAGTCAGATCTAGAGCTCACCAATCAGCAGGCAGTGTGAACTTTACTGATTGGAGAGCTCTAGCTCTGAATCAGATGGGGGCATTGTGGGATTACTGCAGAGATACTTCTGCTTTAATAAAGAGAGTGAGGTCCTTCTCGGCTACATGAGTCTTGGAACATGCTTATTAATGCAGAGAGTGGGGTGAACAGAGAATTGTCCTCATCGGTCTGCTGCTGCTCGTTCACTGTCCTCCCAGAACAATGGAGAGAATACACCACAGTAGTCTTTACCTGAAAATGATTTCATCCAGCTGACTAACCTGTGTAAATCTCAGGACTGGATGGACAGAAATACACCTCCTTTTGCAGGTACACTGCCCCCCTGATGAGTATTTAATCTGTGTTTTATAGCTGTTTGCCTGAAGTTCAGCTTTAAGGAAGAGTTGATGTCTTCTTTTGACTGTATATTGGCTTCTTTTTATCCTCAGCACAGCAGTGCTCATATGGGGAAAGGAGGGCCAGTAATGTGAACCAATCAGGGCTCAGACGTCTGTTGCTGGTCTAACATATAACATTTAGAAATTGGGTATTGTATTTCTAATAAAAAGAATCTCCTATAGGAGGAACAAAACAAGGAACATTCTTTGTCCACCCTCCTCCAGCCTTTCCCTCGCCACTCTGTCCACCATCGCCATCATGCTTCTCTGGTGTCCACCCTCTTCCACCATTGGGCTGCCACTGACAATGTAGTTCCGGCATCTGCATGCTGCAGTTTTATCATCCTGACACCCAGCTACATTCTCAGCATTTTACAGAGAGAAATTGGTGGGAACGTGACCTATCCAGGCTATGGCACATGCCCTGGGCGCCACTTGAAAGCCAATCCACAGAAACGGCTGACTTTTTGTCTTTTCCCCACTCCTCTCCCATAAACATCTCCCCTCTCAGCTCTTGGCAACTGGGGTACGCTCCGCCCAAGATCCTGGCAACCAGTCATGTCAAGAATGGCAAGAGTTTACCCATCTGCAAGAGGTACACTGTCACTGAGCATAGTGGAGGTTCCTTCCGGGCATTATAATATTATTTATTATTCTCTGGATATTATTATTATTTATTATTATGATCATCTAGATATTATTTATCATCGGATTATTATTTTTTATTATTACTATCCAGATATTATTTCATGCATTTCTAAGTGCTCCATACGCCGTCTAATTTTGTTATTTTAAGGCCAACTGCAGGCAAACCTATTTTTCTAGTTTGGTTTAGAGTGGGGAAGAGCTCTGTCGTGATTTTATTCTGAGGAAAAAAGTAAAACATTTTACAACTGTCATCAGGCTAGGAACAATAGGAAAATCTCCCCAATGGAAACACCTATTCCATTAACAGCTGTCAAAGGGGAGATTGCAATTCACTTCCTGTTGTACCTTCAGGACTGGAAAATCTCCCCAATGGGGACATAGACATGACAACTTGACAAATATTCTTACTCTTCTCCTCTCTGTCCAATGTCCTAATGTTTTTGTTTTTTTTGTCTAGTGTTCTGGTCATAAACGGATATATGTGTGTGTGTGTGTGTGTGTGTGTGTGTGTGTGTATATGAAATGTTCCTGCTTCCAAATGTTGCTTAATGGTGATCATAATCTCAGTCACTGTTTAGATTCTCTGGCTCTAGAGCCAGGAGATGAAGCTGGGGAAACCGACCTCTGCTTCATCAGCTTCTTTGGGGTCCCTAGGTGACAATAGGGTTCTGAAAGACCCCTTATGTCTCCATAAAGAGGACCTGTCACACCCTATTGGCTATTACATTGGGGGCTCGTGGGCCCCCTATGTGATAGCAATAAAGTTAGTGGGGAAGAGAGAAAAGTGTTTAAAAAAAAAAATAAGGTAACTTGTAAAAAAATATTTCCCCCCTCCCCTCATGCACGCACATACATACGCAAACACGCGTCAGTGTGCCTACGTGCAAAAACGTGTTACATATTGCCGTTAACGTCGAGTGAGAACAATAATTGTACAGCCATTAATCACTGTTGTCACTAAACTGATGAGCAGTAAAAGCTTTTAAATTTGTCCCCTATGGTAAATTTTAGTGTTTTTGTTTGTTTTTTGCCGCTTCACAGGTGAATGCAATTTTAACTTGACAAGTTTGTTATCTATCTACATAATGTGACCCCGTCTTTTATATTTTACCAAAAAATTGGGTATTATATTCTGTTTCTGTGCACTAATTTTCATTTTTAGTGTATTTTAGCACCAAAATACTTGTTTGATAAACCTTTGCGCAAATACCGTGCAACATTGAAAAAAATTTCAACTAGCATTTTTTTATTCAACAGGGCCTCTGCTTTCAGAAAATATATATTGTTTGGGGGTCTGAAGCTGTTTTCTAGCCAGAAATTCTGATTTTATCATGTGTGTGTAAATAGTAAGAAATTGGCAGCAGGTGGTTAAAGTGCACAATAAAGACGTGTTCGAACCTCATCCTCTCTACTGGTCCCGGTAACCACTGTCACTGTTATACAAAATGATGAGAAATACAATATTTTATAGTCATCACCAGTGAGGGTTAATCTTCCAACCTGTGTCCCCTCTGGAAGCTTCCCCTCTGTTCCTGTTCTGGTGACAATTTCATTTATATTGGAATTCAAGTCATGAGGACAAATACAGTGTGATTCTCGCCTCCATCGTTGCCCATCTTCATTCTCTTGAGCCAACTTTGCTCTTCAAGAGGGAGAAGACAAGCGGTGAGGACTGCAGGACAGGTAAGTATTGAAACCCATTTTCAGACCCGACAAAAATGACAAAGGCATAAATAATTGTGAAGGGTGTAGGGAAGTGGAGTGCTTAAAGTTGTATTAAATTGTTGACTCAATTTGCTGGGGTATCTGGATTGCGGGTCAATGCATCCAAATCATTGGCTCTTAATATCCCCCAGGAATTGTGGTCTCGGTTGTCGGAACATTTTGATTTTACCTGGTCCACGGAGGCTTTGCAATATCTAGGGATTAAACTTACACCTGTCTTTTTACAACTATATAAGAAAAACTATATACCCCTGTTTCACCAACTCCGGGAGGATATGTCTCGATGGAACTCCTGTAATTTGTCATGGCTGGGTTGCATTCATGCACTCAAAATGACGCTGCTCCCCAAGATCCTATATTACTTTCGAGCTCTACCCATAGCTATACAAGATCCTATATTACTTTCGGGCTCTACCCATAGCTATACATAAGCCAGATCTTTTGAAATTTCAATCTTTAATTATTAAATTTGCTTGGCATGGAAAACATCCTAGACTCTCGAAAAATGTACTGCACCGTTCTAAACGGACAGG